CTTGCAACATGATAGCTATTCATAAAGGGTGTTTTTTTTTTTACTTTTCATATAATACAGTAGTCACACAATGAGGCAGTTCATATTTGTCTCAGTGAATCATTAATTTTTGACAGACACCTGTACAAAATACTTGGACTAAAGCCAGCTAAAATTTTCTGTTATCTTGCATGTTTTATGAATCTATTCACATCTAAATGCAGCACTTTTTTTTTTTTCAATGAGACATTTGTTTTTATACTAAAATATCTGAATTACTTTGAAGAAAGCTGGAAATTATGTCCCTTAAAATAATTAAACAAATAAGGCACCAATGTTTTTGTAAGATATTTACATCTTTTAAGGACATTCGGTAGACTGATTCCCCACTGTTGGTTCAACCCCAAAACTTGTTTGTATTCAAAATTAATTATGACAATGCATATTTATATTGAAACAAACTATGATAAAGAGAATTACCGGTATATTATATAACAAAGGGCAAGGTCACCAGAGTTCAACTATGTTTTTTTCTGCATGTCACAAGTGTATGTGTGTCATGTAACTCATTATGTATAGGACAATGGACCAATGATCTGCAGAAATGGTGCTTGATTTGTGTACAAACAGTGAACTACTGTAAAGTCTGTATTAGATGTCACACCCATTCTTTTTTAAACAATTGAGAACCAAAAATTCACCATTTCTAATATGTATAGATGCTCTAATAGAAGCCGCATCCCCTCTCTTGTATTGTACCATTTTGATAGAAGTCGCAGCTTCTATTACAGATTTGACAGTACATGTTGTATTCAATCATGATTTGCCAGCTCAGCTCGTTTATTAGATTGTTTCTATATTTTTATGTTATTATAATCAACTAAAATGCTGTAAAGAAATTATAGCTGACAAAATTCTTGTTTAGTTTAGGCTCATCTAATGATCTTAACTCTTCAACCAACAGGGATCTGTAAACAAAGGAACAGTTTTTTCTATTGAAAGAGGGCGCCACACTGTTGCAAATGTTAATTCAGTTTATATTATAAGTAGCGATGTATTATGAAGTATTTTGTGAGAATCACTGGCTGGCTGGATTAAACTACAATTTGGTTCCACATGTGTCTTGTAATGAATTCTGGACCGAATTATTTGTTTATACAAATTCATTAAAATCAATTGGTAATTTGTATAGTTAATCGCACAAGTCCAAAATGCTGACCGCAAGTGTGGATGTTACAGGGGCGTCGATCATGGGGGGACACGTCCCCCCACTTTCTTAAGGGCGGGGACACAATATCAACTGTCCCCTCCACTTTCCTGACTTACCCAAATATCAATAATAGGCTTATATCAAAGCCTGCGTTTGTGTAAGGCCTTTGGTTCTGTAAAAATATACTGTATCAAGAATGAAAATCCCCAATTATGCACCAAATGACTTCATGACTTTGGTTACATTTTTCAAAAATTTCAACCTTCTGAGGGGGACACATCCCTCCTCGGGGTTACACACCTATATTCCGACACCCCTATGCTCCGACATCCCTATATTCCGACACCCCTATGTTCCGACATTCCTATATTCCGACACCCCTATGTTCCGACATTCCTATATTCCGACAACCCTATGTTAAGATGCTAATAGGTTCTGACACCTACGAAATTTTAAAAACGTTTTTGACATTTCACTGCGTTTTTATCTTCTTGCTATAAGAAAAAATATCATTATTCTTCAAATATTATTCTACGCTCACCTTTTCTGACATAATGTTACATTTCTTTACCTTAAAAAATAACTATGCCGGATTATAATACTTGCCACTCTTCTGGCCATGGGCTTTCATGGAGGTGTTTTTGTGATCATCGTCGGCAATATTCTCAGACGCAATGTATCCTATCAAGCTTCAGACGCAAAATATTTTTTTTTTAATTATTGCCAAACGTTCAGATCAACAATAATCTATGTACCTGACAGTCTTCATGTGGGCCCCTGACAACTTGTACTCGGGGAGACCTAAATTACATTGTTTAGTACTTTTATGTTCGACGATCATCCAATAAATTCTGAGCCGGCCAGAATGTGCCATATTTTCAATGGAAATATGTACGCTAGTGGTCAGAAGCCAAAATTGGACAAATACCCCTCCTCATGGTCGTACAAAGCAACATGTTTTTTTTCTCTGTTCAGCGCGATCAGTCTAGTTACAGAATACTGACTGTACAATTAAAAATAAGACAAGGCTGTCAAATTTACATGCCATAAAATAGACAGAAACATGGGAATTTATTTGGTCAATTTTGGCTGTGGAATCTGAGCCGTTTTGCCCTCGAAAATCAGGGTAAATATGTTAGCTTTAAAAAATTATACACAGCGTCAAATAAAAAGGGAATTTTATAGAATCACCTTATACAATGATATAATTACGTAATAGCCTGTCACATATTAAATAGGAATATATATCAAATTAAAGCTATATTGGTGTAGCGTACAAGTATTACGTTGGATATCATATTGTATAATCCATTACTTATTGACATTATGAATTCATTAACTTTAGTATACGTTATTCAAAATCACCAAATGGCATTTCCTGGGCAAATCCTGTCTATGATAAAATGAATTAGTCATGACATATTCATGTATTTGAAAATAAGTCTTTTTATGCTTTCTCAATATTTGATTTATTGATTTATTGATTTATTTATTTATTTATTTATTTATTTATTTATTTATTTATTTATTTAAGAGAACGCTATTACACTGCCAAGAAATTACATATAGATCATAAAAATGGAATTCAAATAGATGGCGAGACGTTGCCTGACCTAAGATTTACATAAGTAAATTAAACATATGTAGCAAAGAAGTTTGGGTAATTTACACAAACGTAAAATACAAAATCGACGATTGCACAATGGAGCGAATAGGCAGTTTCAAATACATCTGTAAAGTAAAGTATAAATACGGGATATACATGTTTTGGCAGATATAAGGATAAGTATTTAAATTGTGTATTATACCAACTGTAATTTATGAGTGTAACATATGGGAATATTTTCAGAATAAAGAGGAATATCAGAACAATGCAATGGAACAACGAAGAATAGAATATAATAGTAGTAAAAGGTCACGCACGGCTAGTCAGATTAAGTTTGACACAAGTATACTGTGTGTCGGAACATAAGGGTGTCGGAACATAAGGGTGTCGGAACATAGAGATGTCGGAACATAGGGCAGTCCCCCCTTCTCAGACACCTCCCTGTTCGCGCAAGCGCGGACATTGGCCGCTTACGCGGACACAAAAGTGTCCCCCTCACTTTTCAGAATGGATCGACGCCCCTGGGATGTTATACTTGAAACAACACGTCTAGGAGGTGCGATTAATGACTCGACAAAATGACGCGAAATATAATGCACACACTACTTCGCCGCATTGCTGTCAGTTGTAGAGATATTCAGTGCATCAGGTGCATTGTCGTGTCGTGCGTATCGCGTGACTGACTGCCAATACAAAAGTCGTGGTTCGATCCCAGCTTGGTCAACTATTGAAACGTATCAACACTAGATGTGTACCATAGCATAGTATCCCACGACACACTAGAATGCGTGAAATAATGGCATGGATTTTTGCGCATCTAACGAAACTGCACAATTGCATCTTCGAATACATTTTCTTTTTACACAAATCGTGATCATATACTCCCACATTTTAAAATTAAAATGTTTCCCACACACTCAAAGCATGTTGATAATATTCTTCTGATATATGCTTGTCGTAACTGGCAGTTGTGTTTCATCAAATTCAGTAAAAATGTCCAGTAGTTATTAATTTTAGCTTTATATCAGGTGGATTATTCATTAATGTTTCTAAAAATAAAACTCATAAACTGAAAACTATCATGAAAAACATTTGAAATACTCAAGAAATGAGGCATTTGTCTCCCTGTTGAAAAGGATGATTCTGATGATTTTAATCTAAGAGAAGAAGTTGGTACAATCATTGAGGCATGTTACAGTGAAATATTGACAAAATATACCTTTAGATCTTGATGTTACATTTCTGTATAGCTCTCAGAATGATAAGTGTTTTTTCAACACCGTCATATTAAAGCGGGGGAGTCGTCTCCTGCGCATGCGTCAGATGACCATAGCGTGTCATTGTTTATAAACAATCGTCTACCCATAACTTTTGCGTTTTAGCGTGTGTTGTTATCGTCGCTTGGGACTCAATTCCCACGCGTGCGCAAGGTGACGACACTCCCGCTTTAATGAAAGGTCGAAATATATCTATAAACCACATTGACAGAGCAGAACATAGATAATCATAAAACATCATATATAGTAGAATTATCTTTGGAAGAAAAACATAATTGACGATACAACTAATCTTTGTGTGTGAACGCATATTTACACCACCGCAGATGTGACAATCAAAGACTTGGAATAGTTTTTGAATGAGTCTGAAGTCTTCCTTTTACAACTCAATTGCCAAGCTATATATGGATATAGTGACACAGTGTCTAATAGTGCACACTTTATTATAGAGATCGTGAAGAAACATTGACTCGTACTTCTCTTATTCAAAGTCCTGCTTTCTCTGTAAACCATTCTGTTATAATCAAAGAAAAACAGATATTTTTCATTCTAGGGAAAGCGATCAATTCACGGAATTCAACACATTGATTATTCTTTCTAAGCTTTAAAGCATATACTTATATATAATGAATCAATCAAACAATTGTTTCAATTGACGCATTAATTGCTTACATGGAAAGAGTTTGTAGTACATACAGAACACCCTATAAATCAATTTCTGGATTGAATAAAACAAGTTCAATCATTACATGTGTCATAACAAGTACAGCAGTGCTAGTATTGATGTCTGCTTTACCTGTTTTTTCTGTAAGTATTGCAGCTGTTCCAGGTATTAAACAGTTTTGAAAGTAAGAGAAAAGAAAAACTTAAACTACAGTATAAAACCTATAAGTTGCTGTCATGTGTTAGAAACAAAACAAAAACACATAAATCTAGAATCTAGCTGAATTTGTAAAGTGCGTCTCTTTAGCTGCAACGAATTATAATCATACTACTCTATTGGAAATTGACATGAAAAGATTCCAATTAAATGGCTGGATATGTACAATGTAGTAGTTAAAATAGATAAATATATAGATACATAAGTGAAAGAATATATGAAATACTAGTAGAAAGAGATTTAAATTAGCAGAAAAACTGAAAGGTGTAAAGGTGTGGTTATTATATCAACTGTAGTAATTATACTGATGGTGTTTCAAAGGATGTATATTTTTCGAGGCGGAGGGGGCATTTTTACTTTTGCAATTCATGATGGTATGGGGAAGATTTTTTGAGAGGAAGGTCATGGTGTTTTAATTTGTTAAATTTATGAGAGATTGGTCAAAGGTTAAAACTGCTGGACAATTACAGCATTAATGGAGGAGAGAGAGGGAATGTCTGCATTTAATATAATGCAACACTATAGAAATTTCTGGGCAAGGAGGTAAAATTCACTGAAATAATTTCAGGGCAGAAAAAATCCAAAAGTATGTGAGAGGGGAGGGGAGGGGAATACCTCCCGAACGATGTGCCGAGGACAAAAAACTGGAAGAAAGTTGAACAATTCTCTAGCCGGAAGGCAAGTTATGATGAACAGCTAAATTAGTCAAGCCAAATTTCTAGACATCGCCCGGTATTTGATCGATGAAGCTGAAAAAAACAAACAAGTCGTGTTATATTTTCCTGTGTACTGTAAACCAAATAATTGTATAAAGTTAGACAACCTAAGTCTACTAAACTTACATTATAAATATCACTTAAAGAGTCTCTGTGATGTTATCATAGTCTCGAAGGATGTGTTTATGATAGTGACGCAATATTGTGTATAGAACTGATGTGGTAGCAAATACGGCAAGTGTACGGTTTCAATCACATTGTTAGTTACATTGTTAGTATATCATTTGAGCTAATTCATATCGTTAACCAAATATGTTGTTTTTGATGCTTTGTTTTAATGTTTTTATAATTATTCACAAATATAAATTAAACTTTGAGGGGCTTCCAACACTGATACAAACTTCAAGATAAGTTTAAACATGATTTTCTATTAACGTAGTGTCAATTTTAAAAAGTCCGACTATTATTTGAAATTTAGTAGTAATTTTTTCTCAAAAATATATTTTGTCATTTTCAAACGAACTAAATAAAATAAACAATGAATTAGAAAAACATATATTAAACTTTTTTTATTAAAACTGTAAAAATTCACCTAAATAATCACCATCAAACCTAGTATTGTAGAAGGTATTTTTGTCCCCAAACCACTAAGAAATATACTACTAAAACTTGCAAGTATTTAAAGATTTGGAGTTATTTTGTTATTTTTGACACAGGGTAAAACAATATATCACGGGATGGTGATACCTCGACATAATACCGCCACTGAAACGATAGGAAACCGCGAATGACATACGACCCGGTAGTAGTTGTTCATTCGGTAATTGTTATTACACCGTATCACACTTAAATACTAGAAGTTAGGTGTGCGTACAAATTTGGCGGCATATGGCATTTCTTTCCCCAGGATGTGCTCACTTGGATTTTGGGTGGGAATGCTACGCAGCCAGTTCAAAACTGGACCCAAAAATATCGACGTTGAAGGCGTAGCCTAAATTTTGCTGAAAAGGCTGAAAATCTTAAAACTGGGAAACAAAAAGATTCACCCTAACGTGAAAATGGGGGTCAAAACAGCAACGAATATCAGTATACTATGGGAGTACCCCTCCCAAGGGTTTCTTCCTTACTAGTCCGTGTCCGTAGGGGGTGCTGGATAGTATTGAGGTCATCACAGTAAGGTTTATTTGTGTACAGAAATTTCACACCAACTGTGATCAATGTCGTGTTGTCTATCTTTCTATTTCTTCGACGTACAATTAGTACGTACGTATTATTAGACCCCGTTCGGACACAGTGCGAAAACGGTGACTTATGGAATGACCTATGTGCGTGCGTCCGGACCTATATCTTAGACATGCCTGGACCATTGGCAATTACAATGCAAACTTTGACTGATTATGTAAAAAATGTATATATTCATTATACATCATGTCATAGATGTACAGATTTGGTGGCCATTTTGTTTTAATTAATGCTGTTCCAGAGCAATATCTCTCAATATGAACAAGTACTCGTTTCATGATCAGATACAAGATGATTGAATGTCAATCATTTTAATGTTAAAAAATCATCATAATCAAGCATCAGCTTCTGGATCCATATCTGACATGTTTATGTTCCAACTACATTACTATAAACAAAACTATATATCTTAAATATGATAACTAACGGGGACTGTGCCTGACATGGTTTGTTATATTAATATTGTCTTAGTCAAACTGCGAGATGTCAAAACGAATGCGCTTCGCTGATTTTTTCTGGCGTGTCGCTTCTTACATGCAGCACAGCGGACAATTTCAGCTAGGTGTCTTCGGTAATTGTTCCCAACAAACGCGTATACGAAGGGGTTGACGCATGAATTCAAATAAGACAGACACAATGCCACAGCGGAGAGTGGCATCATAGTTTGCATGTCGTACAACTCAGGACTGACGAAAGTGTAATAAAGCGTGACAGCGTGGACAGGACCCCAGCACACCACGAAGAATATGACAACGATAAGGACCATTAGTGTAATGCGCCATTTCTGCTCGATGGAGTCTTCAGTTTTGACGGTGACAACGCGGCGTGTCGAATACTCGCCAGATGCATCGCTCTCTACCCGCTGCCGAACGTTCCGCGATTTCTGAAGCTTAGCGGGTAATTTCGCATTACAGATTTTGTTGATGATACACGTTGTACAAATAGTGATGACGTAAAGTGGAATCGCGTACATGACCAATACTGCATACACATCATAGCACTTTGCAAATATCGGGACGTGCATCGCCATTGTGGGAACGCAGGCTGGTGTTAAAAAGTACGGATCTATCATGACTTCGGTGTACACGGCCATCGGTATGTGCATCAGAAACGAAGCTGAAAAAAGAACAAACATAGTTTAAAGTGTTACAAACACGTTGTATACGCCACATGAAACCCATACCGCACATGGCTGAAATGTAAGCAAACATTACTTTGACGATATCTGTTTACGAAACACAATATGTATTTAATACTAAAGAGTATATTAATGAATACAATTAAATCAATTACTAACCGAGCCATATGATTGCTATTATGGTCAATGCAGCTTTCTTTGTTCTTCGAGCCCGAGCCTTCAGTGGATTATAAATTACGAAATAACGATCAAGTGCCATCATTGTTAAAGTCGCACATGTGGCTTGTACAGTAACCTGGAAATAAAATAGTCAATTAGGTTCAACATTTTAATATAATATCATTCTACGATACACGACTGTGGATACATGCACATGAATGGGTGAACAGGACCCGAAGTTCACGTCAAGTTACGCTAAAACTGAACATTTGACAGTGGGTTGAGGAATGGTGCGTATGCAGGTTGTTTTGTTTTGAATGGCAGCAGTTATCAGATATAGCCGCGTGTATGTATATGCCCAGTAGAATCTGCGATTTGTTTGGGTGATTTAAGGGCGGTGGTCGTCGTGCTGCGCATGCGTGACATTTGTGTTGATAAATATTGATTTTCCCACAATCCAATGCGCTCTTCGAATTGAAATCACAGTACTAGTATGAGTTTTGAGCTGGACGCGACTTGGACTGATTACCGCCGGTGACTCCTTTGACACCTTCCAATCACCTGAAAATACCTAATTAAAGCTTGGTAACGTCTCAGCTTGTACTCGTTGATTTGCGCAACAGTCAAAGTCGCCATCTTTGTTTATATGAGACCCATACTATCGCGCGTGGCGTGACGACTATCGCATTACGTGTAGACCCATACTCTGTATATAACACATTGGCTGACGTCCAATTGTGCCCTAAAACACACGCAAATGACAACAAAACAACATTGTTAATATACAGGTTCTTCTTTATTGGCCAATTTGCCAGCAAAGGGTTTCACGTAAGATTTAAATTTATTTATTATCAGATTGATATGATATTAGAATATGTATTTTTTTTATCAGTGATATAACTTTTGCGTTACCGTAGAAATTATCCTGATAGCTTCGTAAGTTGTTATCTAATATACTACAAATAAATGGTATATACTAGTATACACGGCGTGTATTCGGCAATTATGTATTATTTTTTTATTCAAACAATTGTGTTCCTCGTTAACTTAAGGTTAATCAAAATTTTTTTTTTCAGAATTTCATTGTTTATAACGTATTAAATTTACTGTAGCTACACTGAGATTGATTTCCGATGTAATCGTGTATCTTCTTTTTCGAGTAAGAGAAACGAACATTTTCGATTGCACAAAATTCGTTTGTAGTAAAATCAGTCAACATTAGTTCTACACTTAGTATATCTATATAGTACTACAATCAGGTTGTTAATATTTCATACATACTCTCCATAACTTTAGGCATTTTGACATAGGGATAGCAACGACCAGATTGGTCACGTGTTTGCATGTTTGTGTCGTGCAAATGCTTTGCCATGAATATGTCGATGAGACAAAACGAACTGTTACAGATCGATCACCAGGAATCGCATATTTGACTCCTTGTCCAATATAATATTAAATTCATGTTTTCTGAAAATATTTTTTTTCTTGAATCCTTGGGGGCGGACATCCGGGCATTTTCACCGCCTGGCAACCATCGCGGCGAAAACAATGGGATGGGATGGTTGTTGAGAATCCCCTGAACAGTGTAACAAGATTAGCCCTGCACGTGTAACATATATAAATTTGGTTGTTCGGGATTACTTCTAAGTTAAGTTTGTGTTATTTTCTCGAATTTTTACCGGCTCGACCGGCGTTCCACAGCAGCGCGCACAGAGCCCTTAGAAATGCATGGTACAGTTGTGTGCGTCATAGCAACGTGGAACGTCTTGTGACGTAGCTCCGCCCCCGAGGATACTTAAAGTATGTTGCGTGATTTTGACAGAAATAAACATCCTGTTGATTGCAACGCACAATGGCCACCGACCTCTAGGCCGAGCGACGCGGGGAATTTTTCTCTAAAAGTATACACAAATTCCTCGATCACTTTTTTGTGGCAAAATACACCATAGCAAATGTTACTCACACTTTGGATATAGGCAGTAAAACGACACATAAATTCACCGAAATTCCAGACACCACCATTGACCAGTTGCGATGCAGTAGGAAGTGCGCATACTACCAAAAAACAGATATCCGTCTTCGCCAGATTCATAATATACATGTTGGTAACTGTGTGCATGTCGCGGTATTTAAACACTATGTAGACTACCAAGGCATTACCAACTATACCGATGATGGCCAACGAGCTGGTAACTGCCGCCGCTGCTACGTTCATGCGATTCCATGTTATGTTATGAGTGATATAATAGTAGTAGGAGAAGTTTAGACCCTCTGTTGAATCGTATGAGTACGCCATCTTATAGAAGCGACTAGGACGGAAAGCCACGCATCGCTCTCGAATGAATAAAGTGTAATTAATAGGCCTTCAGTTTAATGTTGGTCGCTCATTTGACGGATGCGCAATAGTCGACTTCACCTCCGGCGGATACACCTGTCTATTTGTATAAGTGACTCTGTCTGCCTCGATATGGATTCTCATTAACACGTTTTACGTTTTACTTTAATCTCACATTCGGATATAATGAGGATGTGATTTAGTGATTATTAGCCAATGATATATCAAGTTGAACTTGAGATTAAAGCCTACAAATTCTGCTTATTTTGCTTCATACTTTTTAGTAGAATACGCGGCAAGAGAGATGATTCTAATTTTATTATCATCAATTGTCCACTCTATTTTTCGGCAATACACCACTCTCTCCTACCTACAGGGTATGCATTTCCCAACTCATGCGCTGTGTACATATGCCGACCTTACATAAAAGAAATTGACTTCTTTCGTCTAAAAGTTTTTTTGTGGGTGATCTTGAGTGGTATTGGTGTCAGTTATCTGATGAGTTGACTTCAGGTTAAAACAGACGCCATTTTATTAGGACTCGGTGAGATATATGGGTGGTGCTGGATGTGCTGAATGTTTTCTAAACACCTGATATTACATGTACACCGTGACCGTGAGGTCAATATATCTTTCTCTTACTGAATTTACTATTTAGTATAATGTTTCTGTCAGTTAATAGTTTTGTTCTTGTGGATTTTTACACATTAACATGGGTCTCGCATTTTTATCACCAGATACTGCAATTGTGTTTTGTTTATTCACTTATATAGTCTATATACATATACAAGATATACTTAGGCCAATAAGGCCGATGCATGACCCAAGGAACTTACATTCGGGTGAATAACTCTTGTGCCAAAAAAAAACCCACAGATCAGTGATACTAGCAAAAAGAGAATAATGTCTGATACATTAATTACGTTCAATACCAAACAATCAAATAATCTGATCAACATTTCAGAAAAAGAAATTACAAGTGCTATTAAAAACTTTGCCGGTTACCTAATAAAATTATTATTCATTGCATGACATAGAAGATGAAATACACCTCCTTTTGCTATGTCCAAAATACCAAACACACCGAAAACGAACGCTTTCCAACATTATATTTTCAAAATAAACCATTATTAATGAAATGACAAAAATGCAATTAAGCTATTAGGTTTTATTATATTTTTATTCACAAAAATTTCGTTTTTAGAAATGGGCATTCTTGATGATTTATTTGATAAAATAGTGTCATATATATCAAACAATATATTACCATTATTTTGAATAAATCACACATAATCAATGAAATTGAAAAATATGCTTCCAAATCAGGTCTGTCTTGGCTTTTCGATCAGTTTTTAAAATGAACGACATGCCAGGAAACGCCGAATTTATTCGCTGTAAAATTTGTCACTAAAGAGCTCCATGGTGATTTTATTCGAATATTGACTACAGTATTTCATGTAGTGCTCGCAAACACCATCCCGTTTGTTATTCCACTGAGGGCATATGTATTTATCTTGTTTATGTTTACGGCCTACACTGTCCGCGTCCGGCTCCTCTCATCTGTCTGTCCAATGTGCGGTGTATCCATAAGCATGGGAGAATAACTGCACTTCGAGTGTAATAAAGTAAAATTGGAAATCAACAATTAATACAATGGGAAGACAAGCTTCCATGTTGATTAATTGTTACACTGTTCAGTACACTGACATTAGATCACAAAAAATCTGTTGTAATCACATTGGGAGTTTTCAAGGGTAATTGCATTTCACTCTTAAAGCGTAATTTTAATTAAATCGTTAACACCCTCACCAACGTTGCAAAGTAACACGTAAGTCGTCTTTCATTAAAGGTTTTTATTTATTTATTTGCCTTTATTTCAATTAATTCTTGACACATATGACAGTGTTATGTGAATCACAATGACATCATGCATATATAAATTATAAATCAATCAAAACGTTATAATGACATACTACAGAAATACATTTACAAAAATAAATTTACAGAAAATAAAATTAAACATTAAAAAAATTCTCAATTTCAGTTTTAAAAAATACAAATACATTTGCTTAATGTGTGCAATATTTATATGATTATATGATTTATTTCACCAATAATAATAACAATTCTAGTAATCTTATATTAATAATAATAATAATAATAATAATAATAATAATAATAATAATAATAATAATAATAATAATAATAATAATAATAATAATAATAATAATAATAATAATAATTTCTTGGTGTGGACCACAGAGGTAGTTCATCCGAACTAATCTAGTCTGTGGCCCAATCCTAACCAATTTCGATATTATATTGGGAGGTTTTTACATTTTTCTGTAAAACCGACATTGACAATGATATATAACCACACCAGTCGTTATACAAAAGCCTTTTCACTATAAACGTGTTTGAACAACAACTACTAGAAGTAATGCTCATTGAGAAATGGTTGAAGCGCG